TTTTGTTGTATCGATTTCTCTTTTGCTGTATCGATTTCTCTTTTCCTGGCATCGATTTCTCTTTTGTTGGCATCGATTTCTCTTTTGTTGTCATTTTACAATCATTATATGATACAAAATAACATTGAACTACATTTAAGGGTAATATGGTCATTTTAACAGTTTTGTCCTGTCCTGTCCTAGTTGTACCAAACATGGGACAGACAATTAGTCTTGTCCCGTCCTGTCCCGTCCCGTCCAGTCTGCGTACCAAACACTACCTTAATTCACTTATATATATATATATATATATATATATAGAGAGAGAGAGAGAGAGAGAGAGAATAAAAGTGTTGACTTAATGACGTGCTTTTATCTGATGTTAGTATTCTCTAAATCGTGATTTACTGTGTTGGATGAGACATTATAAATATAAATACAATCCATAGTTTTCAGAGACATCGCACTTCCGCTCGAGTTGAGGCTTTTACGTTTTTTCTTAAATTGAGTATTGATCACCTTGCAACGTACAGTGTCAAAGACCAGTTAATATTAAAGCAAAATCCAATCCACTATCCACTAGATAATAAAATTTCATCAAAATCCATTTGATTTTGTTACAACATAATTCCCAAATAGAAGTTTTTAAATCCATCCAGATCCCATTTCTGAATCGGTAGGATGTACCACGAACAAAAAAAATAAAAAATTAACAGCTCTTAATCGTTCAAAATGTTTGAATCGTTCATTTCAGTGTTGATTCTAGCACTAGTAACTGGCGCACACCAGTAAACGGCAACCACCAATCTCCGACGCTACCACTGTCGACTCTCGTCCAGTAACCATTACTCTTCATTCCGGTAAAACCTCTTCTCCATAAACATTATAGGTTCAATTTGATGTGTTTGATTAGGTTTGTTTTTTATTTTTTTCATTCATTGCAATCTATCTCGATGTGGTTGATTGCAATTTGTTCTTTTTCTTTTGTATTTGTGTGCTACTTTGATTTCTTTTTTATTTGAGTGCAAATTGATGTGCTTGATTTGTTAAGGATTGTTTTTAGAGTGCATTTGATATGCAAATTACATGGATGTGAGGAGACAAAAAAAAGTAGTCCCATATTTGGTATGTCCTAAACAAAAAATATACAGAACAAGATAAAACTATTTTTAAATTTCATAAGATAAATCTTGATATTTTTTGTTTCATAAAAAAAAAAAAAAAATAAGGTAAAACAACACATGACCGAATTTAAAATACTATGTTACCCAGGTTATTTCTTCCAATAGAAAACCTTATTCATCCCGCCATTTGTGCAGTATCGCCTCCATCGTCTTCTTCCATAGTTGCGATCGTCTTCTTCCACCGGCCTCCATCTCCTCCCATCGCCTCCTCTCCTCTGCAATCGGTACCATTTCTCCATCTTGCTTCTTTGCATGCGTATGATTTCTGTGCTTTTGACTGGCCCAATTTATCATAAAACTCGACGAAATCTGGTAAAATTTATCACAGACGATGATCATGTGTTGGCAAAATTCATCTTCGTTAACTTCACGAAAAACAATTGAACTATCAAAAAGTAAAACTCAAAACCTAAAAACATATCTAACCGCAATTTTGTTTTCTTGAATACTATCAAAATCAAATACAGTGACCAATTAATCAACAGAAAAACAATAATCAGAAACATGAGTGAGAACTGAACTTTGAATACGCCCATTGGCTTCCTGTATTTTGGGTTATGAATACCCCCATTGGGTTCCTGTATTTTTTAATCATTAGCATTTGAACACCAAGTGCTTGATAAAAGTTCCCAATGAGAAAATATTATAAGTTATAAACTAATTTCCCATAGGTAGTTTACTGGAGATGGTTGTGTTGTGGATCATTGGTAGTTTAAATTATATTTAATGTATTAAACTTGATTACAAAAACTATGTAATTAAGATATATTTTGGTTGATTTTTTGTCATTTTACAGTCATTATATGATATAAAATAACATTGAACGACATTTAGGGGTAATATGGTCATTTTAACAGTTTTGTCATGTCCTGTCCTAGTCATACAAACATAGGACAAACAATTAGTCCTGTCCCATCCCGTCCTGTCCTGTCTAGTCTGCGTACCAAACACTACCTTAAAGATGAGTTTACACGAATCAATGGTATGGTTCGTCTACTACCTATTCGATGAAATGCTTTAGACAAGATGGCAATTTTTTTATGTTCAACATTTGAGGTAAATTGCAACCTGTTCTTTTTTTGTGTACTACTTTGATTTGTTAAGAATGGGGTATTTTTAAAGATGATTTTACATGCTCTGAATATATGGTATGATTTGTCTATACATATTCGATAAAATGCTTAAGAGAGAAGTAGCTTGAATAGTTTTGTTCATGATGTTGGCTGATTTTAGCATGTTGCACCATCCAAATCTAGAATATCTCAAGCTAGCTAGTAGTCTCTTATCTGTCCCTTTATTCTCTTAGCATGTTCATGATGTTAATTTTAGCATGTCCCTTTATTCTCTTCTCATCCCTCTAACAGAAATATTAGCCACTTTCCTGATTTGCCCTTTTGGCCCTTCTGGAGTAGACTTGAAGCACTCTTGGGCTTGGGACATGTTGGGCTAAAATATTAGGATTCTTATCATTACTCTCTCCTTCAGAAAAAGTCTTGTCCTCAAGACTTGCTTTCGGGAACTGGATCTGAATACTTGCCGCATCTTCCCATGTTGCCTCCTCTACTGGATAACCCTTCCAATGGATCAGCTACTGACGAACTTGCTCATTATGCTCCATAATTATACGTGAAGCCAAAATAGCTGCCGGAACTAACATATCGGTTGTCCCTATCTCCAACTCAGGAGGTAACGCTGTTTCTGTAGGCGTTCGAACAACCTTCTTCGACAAAGACAAGTGAAAAACGGGGTGTATTTTTTACGACAGTGGCAGTTCTAGCTTATAAGCCATAGGCCCAATCCTTTCTAGTACCTTGAATGGACCAAAAAATCGCGCCGCTAACTTCTGATAATACGGTGAGCCACCGACATTTGTCTATATGGTTTCAGTTTAACGTAAACCCACTCCCCCATTTGGAATTTCACATCCCTTCTCTTTTTGTCCGCTTGTTCCTTCATCGCCGATTGAGCATTAGATAGATGTTGTTTGAGTTGCTTTAAAGCTTCCTCGCGATCTTGAAGCTCTTATACCATAGATCGAACGCGAATCTCACCTGCAACAAGTTGCAACACTGTGGGTGGTTTGCGACCGTACACCACCTCGAATGGGGACTTCCCAATTGACCGATGAAATATCGAATTGTACCCAAATTCCTCCCATGGAATCCAAATTGACCAAGAGCGTGGCTGATCAACAACAAAACATCTTAAATAAGTCTCCAAGCAACAATTTATGACTTCCTTTTGGCCATCAGATTCCGATGGTAGGCGGAACTCATTTAATTTAGTCCCTTGTGATCGAAAGATATCCTGCCAAAACAGACCAAGGAACAAGGGGTCCCGATCACTTACAATCAATTTCGGAATACCATGATGGCGAATCACTTCACGCATGAACACTTTAGCCATGGATTTAGCCGTATAAGGGTGTTTTAATAACAGGAAGTGGTTGTATTTAGATAGCCTGTCTACTACCACCAGAATCGCATCAAAACCCCGAGATTTGGGTAACTCTTGATGAAATCAATAGAAATGTCTTCCCAAGTCGCACTAGGAATGGATAAGGGTTGAAGAAGACCTCTGGGTGCTGTTGAACTTGCTTTACATCGTTGGCACAATTCACACGCTTTAACAAATTCTTGAACCACAACAATCTTACTGGGCCAATAAATGTTAGTTGCCAACGACGGTAAGTGCGATAGTACCCCGAATGTCTACCCGAAGCGGATTGATGAAACTCATTCAACAACATGGGAATGAATTTTGAGTTATGAGGGATCACCAAACGGTCTTTGTAGTATAGAACGCTCTGACGAACGGAAAACCCCGGGTGGCGCGAGTGGTCAGCCTCACACTCCGCCAACAATTTCTGAAATCCTGTGTCCGCACGGATTTCGTCCAAAAGCTACGATCCTTGTAACCAAATTGGTGTCGACACCACAATATTAAGTTCCCCATCCGCGACTTTTCGAGATAAAGCATCCGCCGCTCGATTTTCGCAACCCAGCCTATATAACAAATGTCAAATTCATACGTATTCTTTGTTGTAAAAGAAATTTAAGGCTCTTTTGATCTGTGTAGACCACAAATCATGTTCCCAACAAATATGATCGCCAATGTTGAACAACTAATACCAACGCCATTATTTCTCTTTCATATGCCGATTTTGCCAAATTTCTATCACTAAGAGCCTTGCTGAAATAAGCCAACGGCCTGTTTTGTTGCATTAAGACGACTCCTATTCCGCGTCCAGACGCATCACACTCAACTACAAATGGTAATTGGAAGTCCGGCAGAGCCAAAAGAGGTGCAGTCACCATTGCTTCCTTTAAAGAAACAAAACCCTATTGTGCTTCATCACTCCACCCAAACACATCCTTCTTTGTCAAATCCGTGAGTGGCCTCGGATAATTTCGGTAGTGCCTTATGAATTTTTGATAATAGCTGGTGAGACCCAAGAATCCCCGTAACCCTTTAATGTGTCTTGGGACCGGCCAATCCAAAACCGCTTCGATTTTTTTAGGATCCGTAGCTACACCTTCGCCATTAATGATGTGGCCTAAGTATTCTACCGAAGTTTGGCCAAATGAACATTTCTTCCGATTGGCCACAAAATGGTTTTCCAATAAAATTTTCAAGGCAATTTCTAAATCCACCATATGTTGATTCCACGAGGGACTGTAAATGAGCATGCCATCGAAAAAAACCACTACCGTTTTTCGTAATAATGGTCTAAAGACATCGTTCATAACCGCTTGAAAGGTTGCCGGGGCATTTGAGAGCCCAAAGGGCATCACAAGATATTCATAGTGGCCGTCATGCGTTCGGAAGGCTGTCTTCTCAATACTCGTCGGCTCCATTCGGATTTGATTGTAGCCGGATTTGATTGTAGCCGGATTTGAAATCCAATTTGGAAAAGAATTTGGTTCCCTTAAGCTCATCAATTAGTTCCTCAACCACTGGAATTGGGAATTTATCCGGAATAGTCATCTTGTTAAGGGCTCTATAATCGACACACATACGCCAAGAGTTATCCTTCATGCGGACAAGGATGACTGGACTCGAAAAAGAACTCTTACTCGGCCGAATCATTGCCAATTTTAATAGCTCTTGAACTTGTCTTTTGATCTCAGATTTCTGAATATGGGGATATCTGTAAGGTCGAACACATATCGGTTCATGTGGGGAAACCAAGGAAATGAAATGATCATGTGGCCGTGAAGGAGGCAGCTCCGATGGTTCACGAAATACTTCACTAAATCTTCAATTAAGATGTGTAATTGTCGGTGCTGTATCGGAGTAAGCTCTTCACTGACAGGGGCTATAGTTGAACATGATGCAGCCTTCGGGGTTGGTAAGGACAACTATGATTGCAAGGAAGCTTGGGAATGTTCCGACTTAGTTAATCCTTGGAGAAGAACCGAGACGCTTTGAAAAACAAACCTCATCGACAATCTTTTCCAATTATGGATCACATTCCCCAAGGTTTTTTAACCATTCTACGCCGGGAACCAAATCGAAATGCCTCATGTCAAAAACCAAGGCTGCTATTACAAACTCATACGGTTCTACTCTAATTTTCAGCAGTGGGCATCGCTGATTGACGTGAATTTGATGGCCATCCCCTAATTAAATATTGATAACGGCAAAAAACTCCACTGAGAGTCCAAGAGACTTTACTAACTTTCGTGAGATAAAGCTGTGGATAGCCCCACTATCAACCAAAATGAGTAYTGGAATATCCGCTATGGCGCCCTCGAATTTAAGGGTTTTTACCCCCTGAAGCATACTCAGCCAAAACCCCGAGAAATTCAAGTGCCAAACACAAACTTGCGGAATTTGCATCCTCAGGTGGGGATGCCGAATATATGTCAGCTTCGAGGTTGGTAATCAACCCATCCTCGTCGCCTGATTCATCGTCGCCCAATAACAAAATGCGAAGCTGACCCTCCGGACACTTATTGTAACACCCTAGTTTCTTTGTTAGATAAATCTCAATAATTCAGCCTTAAATGCAAATATTTTTGAATAATTCAAGTACTCCAGCAGCTGTTACAATTAGTGAAACATCTTAATTATAAGACTAAACAAGCTACTGATGAGTTGTTAAGGCTAGAAGTGTGTTGGCAAGTCTAGTAAGTATGACTAAGCAAGCTAGTGATGAGTTGTTAATGCTAGAAGTGTGTTGGCAAGTCTAGTAAGCATGACTAAGCAAGCTAGTGATGAGTTGTTAAGGCTAGNAGTGTGTTGGCAAGTCTAGTAAGCATGACTAAGCAAGCTAGTGATGAGTTGTTAAGGCTAGAAGTGTGTTGGCAAGTCTAGTAAGCATGAATAAGCAAGCTAATGATGAGTTGTTTAGGCTAGAAAGATATGAGTTGGCAAGACTATTGATTACAAGACAAGTCTAGGAAGCATGACAAGGAGTACTAGTATGAGTTGTATAGATTCTCTTATCCTTAGAGATGAGTTGTCAAGATTTTCTTATCTTTATTAATGAGGTGTCAAACTCTCATAAAAGTACAATCTTGAGAGCAAAAAGAACAAGTAGTTAATGCAATGAATTTATCTATAACTAGGGATTTAAGGGCATACCAAAAATAAGAAATCTCTCTATATTTACCTAATTAAGCTTGAAGAAAGGAATCAAAGGAAAAAGTAGGCAAATCAATGTGAGTACTTATGTGATTTATGAGATACATGCATGCTATATATAAAAGTATTTTATGCATTACAAGTTATGTTAGCATGTTTGTTTTACATGAAAATATTGATACACGTACATATTCAAGATATGCATGATGACATGTTTTAATACAAGTATACACACAAGACATGAAAATCATTTACATGTTATCATATGTGTTACACAAGGCATGAATTTTTTTACATGTTATGTATGACCATAATATCCAACATACGGGATATTACAAGAAGGAACGTCTTGCAAACGGACCTTATACAACAGCTTTTTATGGACCCGGGGGTTAGCAAACCTCAAGACAAGTATGGTATACATGCATGTGACAAGTGAGATCTCAAAAAGAATGTATTATGCATGATAAAGAATAGTACTTAATGAATGTTTATGCATGATAATAAATAATATATTTATGCATGATCAAGAGCTTTAATGAACTATCATTTACAAAATATCATGAAAATTTCTCATTCATGAAACCATAAATACTCACTAAGCTTATAGCTTATATATCTCATGTATGTATCTCAGGAAAGAAGTAAGGAGGATTTGCATAAAGTAATATGGTTTTATTTGAAAAACAAGTTTTGTTGTAATACAAGCTATGGTTACGTTTCCGCTAAGTAATTTTTTTCTTTGATGTAATTTCAAGATATGTTATAAATAAAGCTAAATTTCAAGTTCAGATTCATGATTTAATAGTTTTATCATGTAAAGTAACGACACCCAATATATAAGGACGTGGGGCATTACACTTATGCGCTGGCCCAAACTATTGGCCACACCGAAAGCACAACCTCTTCTTCCTATGATCCTCCCACTCTGTTCGTGTGAGAGATTTGAACCCCCGATTTCAATTAAACAACTGACCAAACTCGGTCGAAGTCGTACCCCGAGTACGCAGAAGAGAAGAGGAGCGACTGCTCTCCTGTCGCCTTATAGCAGGGTTTTTGTCGGAAGAGGAAAAGAAGTTGGGCCTGATTTGGTCCAAACGACCCCCTAAATTGGGCCTAATTTCTTTTGAGAATCCAGTCCCAGGCTCATGTTGATAACGAAATCGGGATAGAGATGGATTCGTCGACGAAGGATGAAGCATTCATTCGATATCCTTGGCTAGATACATAGCATCTAATTGTGATTGAGGACAGTGTAATCGAACCCAACGCTTGACCTCATCTTTCAATCCAACAATAAAATACCCTAACGACTGCGATTCCGGTAGTTTGGAAACCAACGATATCAAATACTCAAAGTCATCGATATAATCATAAATTGATGCCCCTTGTTTGATCGTTGATAATTGTTCATATGGATTTTGAATTTCCAAACCACTAAAACGTTGGAGCAGCTCACCGTGAAACTGTTCCCACGAAATCGAATCATAAATCTGATTAACGATCGTGAACCAGTGTTGGGCTACACCCGTCATACTTAATTGTGCCAATCGAATACGTAAGTTAGGAGGAATACCATTAATTTCGAAGTAGAGGTTGGCTTTTTGAATCCACCCCTGGGATTGAATCCACAGAACTCCGGGAGTTTGATCTTCTTCACAGCCCAAGGTAGTCCATCCTGTGATCCGCCTCCAGATCCTGATTGTTTAGTGTTCCCCTTCGTGAAACTCATGAAATCCATACCATTAGGGGTGAAAGGTGGAGGGGTGTTCACATCGACTCAAGAAACGTCCCCAGTGTCCGAATCGGTTTTTCCTCCTGTTGCTTCACCCAGCCTAGCATAATTTCACTGAATTCCGCCGATTCAATACATTCAGAATCCATTGATGCCTTGATTTTGAGGATATCAAACTGTAGTTTAGCGATCTGCTCGTCGTGTTGATCCAAACGAGCAGTTTGAGAACATGTTTTTATTGCGGGTGGAACCATGATGAAAGAAGCGGCAGGTCGGACCAATGATAGAGAGGAGGTAATAGAATTGAAACAATTTAACTAACTGAGAAATGGACGAAGGAAGATTTGATTGAATTTGCATAAAAGAAAAGAAAACAACCACTAGTAATCCAGGGAAAATACCTTTCTTTAAGCTACCAAGCTAAGTAAGAGCCAATCAAAAAAGATAATTCTCCATACCCCCATGCACTCACTCCCCACGCCCTTTATTCTCTTCTCACTTTTGTAACAAAAATATTAGCCACTTTTCTGATTTACCCTTTTGGCCCTTCTGGAGTAGACTTGAAGCACTCTTGGGCTTGGGACATGTTGGGCTAAAATATTAGGATTCTCATCATACACACACTATGGTGTTTGAACTTTTGCATTTAATGTGATGTTTTGTTATGCCAAAACTTGAACGACTATTGTTATATTTGTTTGGATTGATATGGTATCATGATTGTCTTGGACTATTAATTATTTTCTATTTTTCTTTCAGAACATTTTTCAAACATTAATTTTCATTCAACACTAGACTGGGAGTAAAATGGTAATTTATGTCATTCACACTGTTGATTCATAACAGTTTCCAAACAATCATCTTCTATCTGACACTAAATTATACAGAGCTTTTTAATCATTCTAGCCACTTAATTATTCTGCACTAAATGATTCTAGAGCTGCCAAACAGCCTCCAAATATGTCATTAGAGGCAAACATCTGCATCAGTCAGATGTTATCTTGTTTGACAACAATTTTTTCAAGCCTCTGAACGACTCAATATATTTGAATCCCATTTTCCACACTTGCCCTTGCCTATGCTGTTAAAATCGCGATATATCGGATATCGCTCCAAAAAAAAAA